CACCATACAAATTTCATTGGTTATTTGGAAGTGCTGCCAGATGATGAGAATACTGAAAAAGTCGCGGGTTTTTTTATCGAAAATATTCTCTTTATATTGAAATACTATTTTATATATTTATCGAATTATCGATTTTTATAAAAAATTACAAATTTTCATTATTATTTATAAGTATTGAACTTTATGAAAAAAGCGCCGCAGGCGAAAATGTTTAATAAAAAATGGCGCAATTTTTTAATAAAAATTTTCCTTATTTACCGAAGTATTGATTTTTATAAAGAAATTTATTTATACAAAATCACGCGATTTCTTTTAATTGTCACTATTTATCGAAGTATTTATTTTTTTTTTTAACGCCGCACACATACTCATATATTCCCTAATGTTATGGAGATCATTATGAAACAGAAGTAGATTTTTGAATATCCCTTCATTTTAGTATACGTATTTAATTTTCGAACATCTGGTAGCACCTTTCTATTCACCATTACAGCCATTTTGATTTGTTTGTTCGACTATTTATCCGAGTTCAGTCAGGTCGGTTAAAAAATACGCGACCTGAAGAATAGTGTTTTTAAGTGAAAAAACTGCTCTACTTTGAATTGTTAATGGGAAAGTGGAGAGGGATTTATTTTTTTTCAGTATATGAATAAGTACATATATTACGCAATTGCCTCGCATAATTACTCATTTCGATTGGTTATTGCATCTTAGTAAATCCCAATAAACTAATCACATGTTTCTTGCCAAATACCAACAGGGTTGCTTGAGTAGCTAAACGTAAATTTAACACGAGTTGAGCATTCTTTCGTCGCTCGTTACAAAAAAATTAACCTATTATTATTATTATTGTGGATGAACTGCGAACTTAAGATCTATTGCTCTGTTGCTATTGCTATTGTGCTTTTGTATGGAACCTAAATCTACGGATTTCACTTCGCGTTTGGTTGTCAGATCTTCACCCAGGTGCCTTTTGCTTTTATCCAACAGTGCAGGACATTCATCCAAGATGTACAATGTCCTATCAGGATTCCTGCAACAATTCTTAAGTTATTCTTTGATAATCTCATACATTCCTTGAAGCATTTAAGGTTTTACATATGTTCCTATGTTGGATTGCTCTAGACCTGGTAGAATATCCCAGTCGCGACTTCTTTGAGTACCTTTTTCTAACCGGACAAAGACAGAGAGTGCCCCTTCCGATCCACAGAAGGGCTCTGGGCCGATAAAAGGGGTTGATGAACATTCCTTCGTTAGTTTATCGACAATATCGTTTCCTTTAATAACAATATGTCCCAGCATCCAGAGAACCCAAACTTGGTTGGTCAGACTAAGAGAGTTCAGCTTTTCGAGGCACTCCGTTGCCAGTTTAGATGTTAACTAGTGAGATCTGAGGGCCTTGATAGCCGCCTGGCTGTCAGTCAATA